AAACCTTCCTTTCTCTGTACCTAGCTGTGGTCACGCTAGATACCACTGCCTTTCTCAAAAACTGGTTCCGGGCTAGAGGTAAGACCCACACAGTTGCAAAGCAGGATGGGCACATGTGGCTCCTTAGGATGGGCTGCTCAGCCTGATCTGCACAGGGCTACATGTCCCTTATGCGCAAACTGTAACAGATAAGGGACATTCCTACCACCACAATACTCTACACATCTATAAAATAGCAGCCTTAAGCTTGAAGAGCGTCTGTTGACTTTAGTTTGGGGTGAACCAAATAAAGAGGTCAGTACTACTTCTGTTTGGGACAGTGTCTGTCAGTCAACCAGTTGGTCTTTAATCAGAAGATTCCTCTAACCTCGAAGCCAGTGAGGCACTCAGGCCAACGTTCATCTTTCCAGTATTCTACTCACTGCATGCCACTCATTGGAAGGAGGCTTCACATTTCTTGATTTCCTGCCTTCCTTACTGGCTACCTCACAGGGCTGCAGTAAAGAACAGATAGCTCACACATGCTGGCACACGCCTAATAACACCAGCATTCTGGAAGCTGAGGCAGAAGAATTAAAGAGTTCGTGGCTAGCATGGGCCACAGAGTGAAACAGTGTCTCAAAATATTTAAAAAAAAAAAACAGATAAAATATTCTGTAAAACCCATGGGACACAGTAGGTGCTCTGTGAATAGTAATTTGAATTAATCACTAATAACCACCAGGAGAAATACAGCACGAAAACGTTGTTGTCTCTGAAGTGCTGTTCTCGCACTCAAAGCATCCACAGTAGACAGGACTATGGCAAGATTCTCATGTCACCAAATGTCTGACACCCTAACGAGTACCTGGCTCCTTTCATAATCCAAGAATGTCTATTTGGCAAATGGCTGACCCTTTGACAAACCAAGAGGCAAAGGACTGTGGTTGGAGGATACAGCCTAACACAGCTGGTACACCTAGATGTCAATCTCCGTGGACCACAAAAGGATCACTTCTCCATCCACTTGGTAAGGTTACTGTGCCCAGCTCTCAGTAGCATTAAAAAGGAAAGACATAACCTCTTCAACTTTGATGACCAGGGATCAGGTGAATTTGAGGTGTCAGACACCTCAGACACCCTCTACCCTGGACAACGTTCTCACGTCACCAGCTGTCTGCTACCATGTGGACTATCTGGTTTCTTTCAGAATTAAGCACACCCAGGAGGTAAAGACAGGCAGAGGGTGAGCTCAGAGTGATGCTTAGACACCTAAGCCATTCAAGGTCAATCTGGGCTTTATGAGACCCTGTCTCATTGTTGAGGAAACAACAAGGCAGAAAGATATACAACAGAGGACCACCGTGATGAAACTCATGACCCAGTGTCCACACATATGGTCCAGTCCCGGCACAGGGGAGGGGCAGATGGGAAGACACAGCATAGACAAACTAATGTAATTAGCTCTTGCGCCCACTTGTGTGGTGTCATCAAAGATACTGTCAAACCTTCCACGGTGCTTTAGTCTGTGAAAACATCTTTACTCTCAAACCTCAGAGAGTGCTGCCCAAGCACCAGCCAGGGACTATTACAGCCTCCTAAAAAGCCAAGAACAGCTCTCTTTCCCCACTCCCTTAGGTCAGGTCCCTAACGAGAGACCAAGATGGGTAATTGGCACAATATAAATACTTAATAGGTTCTATATATGTCCAAATAAAAGCAAAGAATATAAAAAAAATAAAAGAACTTGTTAAAGTAGGAATTATCACATACTTAAGTCTTTACTAAATCCTTCATATTAAAAACTCAATCTCTAAATGATTCAAAACCACAATACCCTTTTGGCAGAATCCTTGTTTGCCTGCCTGCCTGTCTATTTCTGTTTGTTGGATTGCTTTGGATGGAATCCAGGGTCTCTGGTCATATACAAGGCATGTACTATACCACTGAGCTACATCACCAGCCCCCACATAACTCTTAGACTGTCCTAACACAACCCAATTGGTGATAGTTTGGGAAATTAAAAGGGTTCCCTTGTAAAACTTTCAAGACAATAAACAAGTTAGGCTGAGAAAGTTAACACACATTACTAATTTCAATAGTTTTACAGCTATCATTCAAGCCAGACTTTTCAACAGCACTTTAAGAAGCCACATGGAGACAGTATTTACCAGCAGATCAAGAAATGGATAATCCTAGACTAGGTAATGGGCACTCCTAACTTGGTACAAAATTTCTAGAGGCAGAATCAGTAACTGATTTTTTTTTCTGAGACAGGGTTTCTCTGTGTAGCTTTGCGCCTGCCTCTGCCTCCCGAGTGCTGGGATTAAAGGCATGCACCACCACCGCCCGGCAATTTTTTTTTTTTTTTAAAGACATGTGAGAACAGAATTGAAAGACTCTGCTTGTCAGGTAGGGGACTCCTAAGAATGCTGAAGACAACCAAGACCCAGCTCAAAAGGATGCACTTTGGGACCTGCACATGAAACTAAACAGAACTTTAGTGCATTTTATACCTGAGGCAGTCCCCAAATTCAGCTGTAAGGGACTTAACATATTTGTCTATAATTTACACACTTTAAAAGCTTACATATCTCCATTAGCCCAAAAGATCTGAGGGACTTCTAATCAAGAAAGGCATTTATAGTTACTATTAGGTCATATTTGACAACTGTTAAATGATGGAATGAGTATCCATTTATTAAACAACATGCAGCAACATCCAGAATTCAGCCACACCAGAAAGCATCAGTACAATTGAGGGACAGTGGGGCACCAAGAGCCTACTCGGAAGCAATTTTTAGCTGGGCTCTGCTTGCTAAGTTTATAGGTGGCTCACAACTACATTGCACGCAATTCCGTCCCTTTCTCTTTTCACACCCATCACTGTCCCCTAGACTGTTCATTGAGACCTAAAGCTGTTATCCCAAAGTGGCAGTGTGGCGGTAGCATGCAGGGCTTTCAGCTGACCAAGAAGAAACCCAGTAACTACTAAAAATCAATGAGCAAAAGCTACAAATACCACAATCTCCATCTCTGCTACTTTCTCTCTGAACGCGATCAAACAACAGTAGATTTAATTCTAACTTTTCCCCAAAACCTGAACCTGGTCCTTTTGAGACGATTGTGAAAGCAAGCCTGCATTCTAGTTGACACAATACAAAGAAAGAAAATATGTTCTCGAATTCCCAGAAGTGTAGACATCCTAAAGCACAGTGTCTGTAGCCACATGCAGCACCAACCTCCAGGGTCTCAAAATCTTACAGAACCAAACATGAATTCCTTATACTCAAGCACTACTGCTAAAGCTACAAGCTTCTACCTCGTGGACAAGTCCTAAAGAATGCGCTGAACGGCAGGCACTAAGGTTCCAGGAGCTGTCCGGGGCTGTGCCTTCCCTACATCAGAGGCATCTGGGTAAGCACCAGGCCAACCACACTCCTCAAGGTAAACTGGATCAACGTCTGTTAGCAGTCATCACAGTGCCCGAGCATCTCACATGAGCCATAGTTCTACAAGTCACATAATTACTGAAGCAGGAGGAAGCAATCAACTAATGCTGCAAATAAAAACCTTTAATTATAATGTTAGATTACAAACAACACAGACAAGGAAGAAAAGCCTCGGAGCTTCTAATGGAGCATATAGCTGGATTTAATCACAACTAAAGCCAAATTTAAATTCTGGTCCTTCAGCAACAATCCGAAGGAATGACTATTCCCTGACTACCTTTACCCACCCTTTCTCCTGGTCCACAGAAAACTCAAATTCAGCCATCCAGAAAAAAAGTCTCCCAACTAGAACAGAAGTAGAGAAGTCTGTATAACGTAGCTGTACAAAATCTAAGAATGAAAATTAACAAATAATGGTCCACGTGGGAAAGCAAGCCTGCCTAAGAGCTCATGAGAGGACCTAGGCTTGTTAAGAGAATGCCAACCCCGAGGTTAAGACAAAATTCTCCTGGAGACTCCAGGTAAATGCCGCTCTTCCTTCTGAAGGCAGCTGTAGTTAGTCTCATGGCAACGTCTGCCCACTCTGCCCTCTGCCCTGTACCCCTTAAGCAGACAGTTAAGCAGGCAAGAGGCCACCAGCTCCCTGTCAGCGATCGGAACTAGGGGACCATTAATCAGTAAGTTCCCAACTGGTGGGTGGGCTGAGGGCGAAGACGACGACTCTGGAGGTGTAGGTGAAGATGGTTGTTTCTGGGGATTTGGAAGGGTAACAAAAAGTTAAAGAAATAGATGATAGATAGATAGATAGATAGATAGATAGATAGATAGATAGATAGATAGATAGACAGACAGACAAACAGTCAGGATGGATGGATGGATGGATGGATAGATAGATAGATAGACAGACAGACAAACAGTCAGGATGGATGGATGGATGGATGGATAGATAGATAGATAGACAGACAGACAAACAGTCAGGATGGATGGATAGATAGATAGATAGATAGATAGATAGATAGATAGATAGATAGACAAACAGTCAGGATGGATGGATGGATGAATAGATAGACAGATAGATGATGATAGTAGATAGATAGATAGATAGATAGGTAGGTAGATAGATAGATAGATAGATAGATAGATAGATAGATAGATAGACAGATAGATAGACAGAGCCTAGTCAAAATGGAAGTGTTGGAGAGCAGCAGTCTGAAGGCATATCCACCTAGTGAGAGGATGGTTCATATGAACAGGTCATGGGGGCAGATGTCAGCACTGTGCTCTAGGCGCTTGGAAAGCAACTTGGGTGCCCACAAGAAGTTTGGGGTAAGGATTAGGAGGTGCTGCGATGAGATGTAGCCAAAAATTGGTTAAGCGGGAACTAAGAGCTACATAGAGTCCCTGGAGCACAGAGAAGTTGTTGAAGAAGACTAAAACAAACCAGTGGGCCACTTGGAAGAGCCACGGCTAGTCTCTATTTCTGACCACGATTACTCTGTACATCCACGTGCGCACAAGCATACACTTTCCCACACAGTGGCGCCATGTCATTGGGGGGTAGATTCTTACCTTAGGCACTGGCACGCTCCTGTTAGTCGCCACGTCGCACAAACTGGAGGTAGAGCTGCCTGCCGCCGCTGGAAGAAAGACCGGAGAACGCGGAGGACTGCCAGTCGCGCCTCCAGGGATGCCAGCCAGCGCTGGGAAGGTACTGGGGCCCGGGCGCGCAGGAGGGCTGCTCCCCGGGCTGGCGCCCGTGCGGGGCCTCTGGCGGATGCCATCCAGCAGGCGCACCAGCAGTATGTTGGCGGGCAGCTCGTCCACACCGCAGCCCACCAGGATGCGGCACTCAGGACAGCGTAGCTCGTGGCGCGAGCACACGATGCTCTCCAGACAGCGGCGGCAGAAGGTGTGCTGGCATGGTAACACCTTGGCCGTGGTGTCCAGGCGCTCCAGGCACACGGAGCATTCTAGCAAGTCCAGCAGCGATGACTCGTCCATATCCTCGTCAGTCCTCGCTTGGGCCTCCTGCTGCTGCTCACCCTGCCTGTCGTCGCCCTCTCTCCGAGCTGTAGTGGCCGCCGCCTTGGACGCCAACAGCCAGGACGCTCCAAGCAGCATGGGGGAGGCGCAGGCGCGGGCCCAGTGAGCCGCCTAAGTCCAGGAGCCAGAGCCCAGCCCGCTGAGGGTAGCGAGCATTTGCACCCTGCCCGGGCGACCGCGATCAATAAGCAAGGTTCCGTCCCCCGCGGCGCGCTGACAGCCCGAGGCTGTGGCCTCTATGTTGCAAAGTGACACGCCGACCCTGCCTGCAGAGTTCCTGGAGCAGCGAGTCAACTCCAGGCAGCTGAGCGGGCTCAGCCCTCCTACACGCGCCGCTCGCCGCTGCGGGCTACACCTGTCCCGCCGCGCCGCTCGCTCCCCGGAGCCCAGCAGCAGGAAGTGCCGGGAGAGGCCAGCCGGGTCCCCCGGGAGGCCGAGGCGCGGCGTGCGCGCTCCCCCGCGCCGCAGGCGAGCCGCACAGCCCCCCTCGGCGCCTCCATGCGCCCCCGGGCTGCCAGATCGCCGCCGCCTCGCTCAACCAGCCGGGCTGGACCTCCTCCCCCCCGGCTGCGAGCACGTGTGCGGGGGGCGCGCGGAGGTCACAGTCACTGCTGGGGTGCTAGGAAGCGGACCCCCTCTCTTGCTTTGGCGCTCTCCCCTTAGGCCACCTCCGGGGCTCTCCGGAGAACTTCCCCTGCGCAGCCTTGGCCCTGTCCTCGGTGGATGCCGGACTCTGGGTTCTCCGCGAGCTTCGGGAAGGGACGTTTCTTCTCAACGCCGCCGCGAAGGAAAGTTTGAGAGCATTATCCCGACTGCTTTCTTCGGCAGCTTTGGAGAGCAGCCTGGGGACGCATGCGACACCCAAGGCATCCTTCTGGACGACTCCAGGGAGCTTGTGTCCCCTCTCCCGCCAGCACACACAAGTGACAGCTGTGGGGATAGGCGCGGGGATGTCCCTTGAGGCCAGAGGGGAAGGAGCTGGAGCTGGCGGGGCGCCCCACCCCACCCCGGGGGGCCGCGACCACTCCTTCGGGAGGCAGGCTGCCCTCTCCAGAATCACCGGTGTGAGCCTGACGCCGCCGCCGCCCACGCGCCTGCACACTCTGGCCGAGCGCCGCGCCCCTGGCGGCGCGGTGAGAGACTCCAGTGGCCGCTCTGGTGTGCTCGGGTGAACCCAGCTCCAGATTTTCCTCGTGAGGCTCAAAGGAGGGGGAATTTGCGCTCCTTCCCGATGCCCGGGTTTCTGGGAGCGTCAGAGCGACGGAAGTACGTACGAGGACCCGGAGCAGCAGGGAAGTTTGGCGGTGGGCTGCGGTCGGCGTCCAAGATTTCTTGCCGTGTGCTGCCCCCTGGTGTCCCCTTCGTGCTCCCAACACTCAGCGGGCTAGATGATGCACAACCGGGAGATGCCAGGGCTAACAACAGAAGTGGTGTAGACGCCCCCTCCTACCAGTTGGGCTAACCTGTTGTTTGTGAAGCTGAGCGTTCACTTTCCTAGTTTTTAGGGATAAAATAAAATCTGCTGATGCATAAATGCCGAGATTATGCCTGCATTATCAATTTTGTGAAACAAGATTGTTTTTGTGAAGTAATTGATTGATCTTGTGAAGTAATTGTTTTTAACTTCGTTTCACACGTAAGGAAAATGAGTCTCATTCTTATGAAGCCGTTAAATTAGATTTAATGATTGTGTCCACGGACTCCAGATGCATAAAGACCACATGCTAGTAGAGTGGTTGCCTATAAGCTATGTGTCTTTTACAGTGTAGTAGCTTCCACGCCAGGTGCTCAGTAAATATTTGTTGAATTATTGAGTGTCATGGTCTCATCATCCAGTGATGATTTGAATGCAATCCTTGGTACCCCAATTCCAGATATCCTAAGTTCCTATCAGGCTGCCAGTCCCTGGAAATTTCAGGAAGCAGATAGTTTTCTCAGCGGACATCTGTACCATTAACATCACAGTGGAAGACTGGCAGAGAACAAAGTTGTTGTCCATGATGATTCATCCTGGATACTTTCCGGTGCAAGAGAGAAATGAACTTTAGAAAAACCTTGAAAGGAGCAAAGTAAGAGGCATCTTAGGAGCCCATAGAGCTAGGCCAGGTTAGTGCAGACAAAGTCCTCTGAACCTTGCCCTTGTACTCGGTGACTCCCTCCTTCCTTCCACTTTGCACCAGGAACCACATGATAGAAAAACATGGCCAAAACTTGCACTGGATCCAACAGTCTAGCATGCAGTTAGCATTAGCTACTAACAAGACGAGCGTCTGATACTGTCTTGGGCTGACTAGAAGTCTGAAAATCCTGTCACCTAGCCTGGGTTAGTGACCACTCTCTGAGTCAAGTATCTACAGAAACAAGATATGATATGAATTCTGGCAGCACCCTCAGAAGTTACACAGGAAAGGGAGTACGGGTTCCTGCCAGTAGCATCTGGGAAAGCAAAAACAGATGTCCATTCTGGGAACCCAGGACATCTCTGTCCACAGAGCCCCTCATTGTGCACAACCAGAGTGAAGATGGGGAGATGCAGAGCTACTGGACCCCATAGTGCCCGGCCTTCCGGTGTTTCCACTCCGCCCTTCAGCACCCACCACAGCCAACTCACTGTAGCTCAGCCCGTGAAGCCAAACTCACACAAAGGCTGGGGCAGGGCATGCAAATCAATTCAGCAGCTAGGTTCAGACTACGGGCACGGTGAGGACTGGGATGAGCTATCTGTGCCTTCCCAAGGGAAAGCCGCCCCTCTGCTGAGATCGTTCATCCGATGTTCTGAGAAACGATGCCAAGTATTGTGTGACATCTCCCTCCCTTTAAGGAGAGGTGGGGGCCTTTTTATAGCTTCTGACGTTCAACGGTTGACAAAAATTTCTGTTCCCAACGTGAACCAAAATAAATACGTGGTTAAATTAGCCCCAAGACCTCCAGTTTGCAAGTTCTGCTTATACTCCTAGTATACTCCATAAAGGAGTTCCAGGGTGTGGCCTAAATTGCTGAAGTATGACAAAGTTTTAGGTTACTCAGCTGAATTTGCACATGTTCAATAAGCCAAATATGTAAGTGAATGATGGAAGAGCTGGCTTTGCAGCCATTCATATAAAAATATCTGGGAATTCAGTCAACCACAAGACTACTACGAGCCAACATGTGTCATCCATATACCATTGGCAGCCTCAGGAAGCCCTGAAGGCCTCAGACGCTTGCATGTGAGTTTAACAGGCTCTGATATGGAACGAAAGAATCCCATCCTACCTCGGACTTGTCAGACCTCATTTGGGAGATTATTTCCAATTCTAGAAACCAGAAATTAATGACTAAAGTGGTAAGGGAGCTAGAGGCCCAAGCCTCAGGGTTAGGAGGAACAGAAAGCAAGTGTCCATGAAGAGAAAGCTCAGAGGAAGTGGGGTGGGACCGCTGTGTGGCTTGTGGCTACCCCAAACTTGAACTCCTTGTTTCTTACATTCTTTGCCTTGGTGCCCGACGGGGATTTATTTTTCCAGTGGAAGAAGGGAGATGTTACTTAAGCTCAGTCAATCAAAAGATGTGTTCCCAACCAGCCATGCTCTGACAGATGGCAGGAGGAGGGTTGATGCAGCCTGCAGAACCATAGATAATACAGGGCAGCTGGCATGCAATGGCAGGACCCACAGCTTGGTCCCTGCTTGATTGCAGAAGCATCATGGCATCTCCAGGCCAGCCCTGACTGTGGTCATGAGCTCAGCTATAGCCTCCATTGCTCTGCTGGCTTTATTGATCCTATGAGTTTCTCTATTATTTTTTAAGATTAATTCCTTTCTGTGGACTCATCCCAAGCTGCCGATTGCTGTTTGCAACTGAGAATTCTAGTTGATACCAGTTTTATTATCAGCCAGAGGTGATCAGTGAAGGTGTCCAATACAGCCGTCACCATGCTGAAATGTAATGGTAAGTCCTTTGGACTTTCTGCTGGAAAGACATCCACGTGGGCTACTGGAAGCACTAAGCATTAGTTAAACAGCATTTCTTGAATGAATGTGTTCCACCCTTAGTCAGGTGCTAAGTAGGAGCAGAGCTGAGGGCGAGTCAAGCTGTGTGAGTGGTGAGTAGAGTTTGCCTCCAGGACACAGGCATCCCAGGCAGCTGTATCTTCTGCAGATGGAAAAGCCTGCAAAACAGGTCATGTTCTTCTCATCCTGGCTTTGTCCCCCTTTCCGAAACAGGGAAATTTGTCTCCCTTTCCGAAACCTGAGCTATTTCAGTACTTGATTCTGGTTTATAACCTCTCCACGTATACAGAGTGCTGTCCACACAGGAGGTTCTCAATAGATGCTTGCTGGGTGCACACAACAACACACACACAAGGTATCACTCTCAGGTCAGTTATCAGACCAAAAAGAAAGTCCAGAGGGACCGACTTAAGGGACCATAAAGTGAGTTTTATTTCAGAACCAAGCTTGAGGTGTCAGAAGGATAAGGAGGTGCAGATGTCTGGCAGTTAGGGATATGAGTCACACACAGCTCTGGAAGGAGGTCAGGATGAGATAGTGAGTTATTTCACTAAAGGTGATAGATGGAGAAAAGAAGGGAGGTTTCTTGAGGGAGAAAAGAAGCCAGGTTTCTTCTCAGAAAAGTGCAGAGGAGTCTTTGGGTTTGATAAGCAAAGGACAGGAGGAAAAGGACTAGCTGGCAGCAGGGGGTCTCATCAGTCACACTTGCTTAGAATACTCGATCTTCAGGGTACAAAATGGCTTGCAGATGCGACCTAGCTAGCTCTATACAAATATTATTCTGGTGACAGGGGAAAGTTCTCAGGTTTGCAAAATAGACGTTGTAAGGTCTAGTTAATCACAATGTAGATATCATTAGTACAAGGGATGGAGATTTCATTATGCAAGTTGATCAATTTTGTTAGTCTGTGTTGAGATGATTGGATCCCCACTTGGACAACACTTAACACTGTGTGTGTGTGTGTGAGAGAGAGAGAGAGAGAGAGAGAGAGAGAGAGAGAGAGAGAGAGAGAGAGAGAGAGAGAGAGAGAGAGAGAGAGAGTCTGGGAATTGAATATGGGGTCTTATACATTATTGGCAAGCATTCTACTACTGAGCT